TGGCAGGTGGCTCCTAGCGGGCCCAAGGGGCGACGCTGCAGCTCCTCTCCGGGGAAGCGGGCTTGCTCTTTCCTCCGAGCATTGCGCGCGCAGGACGTCTCCAGACTCCTCCGGTTTGCGTCAAAGCAGCGAGAAGTTTAGAGCCGTGACTTGACAGTTTTCTTTTTTGAGCCTCCGGTACTGTGGCTATTCCTGAGGCTTTGCCCTGAGTTCCGTAGTGGTAGTAATCTCGGAGTACCGTTCCCCTGACAATCAGGTCAACGAGGCCATTTCCTAACCATCCAAGCCTTCGACGGTTTCCTCGCCATTTGCAGCCACGAACTGGGAAGGGCAGTGGAGGCAGATCGGCGGCGTTCGCCAAGCGCGTTGGCCCTTCGCCACTTTAATTCACGCTCCTTTTGCCCTTTCTCCCTGAGTTATTTATAGGCTCTGCGATAGAATCCTAGCGTGGTCTGATTTAGGAGTTAAAAACTTGGCTACTCTTCAGTGACCACTTAGTTTAACGCAGAGAGTTGCGCAGGACTTGGGCGCGTGAAGGGAAGGGAAATTCTACCACCGCGTGGGAGCCGGCAAGGAGGTTGAACTGGAGCAGGAAGTCCTTTCGGTTTCCCTTCAGGACCGCTCTTGTCTGGTAGACTTGACACATACCCCTGCTCCAGCACTGATAGGGAGATCTTCACATTTCTTTCCAATGCTGCATTTAGCTGATGGGCTTTATAAATTGCTTTCTTTTGTGCAATGATGGAAAGTGTTGAACCTCTGGCAGAAAAAAAGGTAGCAACCAAGTTATCCTGATGAATTGATTAAAGATTCAGTTCGATTTCATTGATTTCTGTTTATCTGAGATCTTTAGGCTATTAAGGTGTCTTGCAGGTCTGTGTAGGATTACACTCAGTTCCACCGACAAGGATTTTCTGGTATTTTTGGAACAGAATATTTTAAAATTGCTTTAAAGAGAATGAGAGTTAAAATCTGAACATACATTAAGTTTACATACTGTATAAATATCTCAAAGTCTTTGGGCTTAAACATTTGAACAGAAAAACCAGAAGTATAATTTAATATGGATTAAACTGTTATATGCAAATGTGTTAAAGCGTTCTTGTTATACCATTTTACTGGAATACATGTAAATACTTTCAAGCATAATCGTTCAGTAGTACACACTTCCTTTCCCATGTAAACGGTGAAACTAGGGTTTACCTAACATTCATTCACATAGATTATACTGTAGTTGCTACTTGTGTGTGAGAGATTGTGTGTGTGTATACATTATGTAGAGACGGCTTCTCTCTAAGCAGATTATTATTTTTCCTTGCTAATTCTGTATAAATTAAGAAGTTGTGGATTTGCATACTTACTTGGGAATAATTTAAATTGGTAGGCAGCAGGCCTGACTGAGGAAATGTACAGGATTGAGTATGTTTACCTGAGAAAGCGGGCATCTTAACATTAGGAATATGCCTGATTTTTTTAAAAAAAAAATCATAATTAAATTTGTACAATCAGCATGTTCTAGATGTGTGACAGATGCAACGGATATATGCTAGAATACCAATCAAATACTTATATTAAAAAATAATAACAAAGAGCCAGTGTGCCACAATGGTTAATAGTTCCATCTTCTGCTTGTACTTGTAGCTTCCAGATGTTCTGCAGGTTGGAACCAGAGCCTGGAACCACAGTCTTACAAGAAACAGGCTGAGTGACTGTATTTTTTTTACCAGGATGTGATACGTTCAGTTTGGTCAAACAGGTGCAACTTGGAAGGAATAGATAAGAATATGATGTATGGGCTGCAGAGATCTAGATGACTACTGAATGGCAGCAAAGAAATATATTTTAAAAGGATTTTTTTTTAAAAAAGTAGCTTGATAGCTTTACATATTTATACAAAAGTAAACCTTACAAAGAGATGTGGCATCTTATATATGTATTAGGATCCACAGCAGCTTGAAATTAAAAGTCATAAATTTCACTCTCAGACAAATTTCTGTTGGCCAGAATTGATTCCCACATTTGCAGAAAACTTTCTGCTGCCTGTCTTAAGACACATCCCTAAAAGCTCCATGTTAAAAGAGTGAGGCGTGTGATAATGTTGCCCTTGAACTCAAGTGAAATGCTGTGCAACTGCAAATACAAAAAGAAGTCTGGCTAATAAGACTTCTGCTTTGTTCTGCTCTTTGCAGTGCTGTCTACTGTCTGTTGCCCCAGATGTCCTTCCTGTAGCTGCTACCGTGCTTTGGGTAATTTTGTAAATGACTCTTGCGTTCAGTGTCTCCTCTAAGCCGAAAAGTAACTGTCTCTTAAAAGATCAGAAATAGGAGTGGAAATACAGTACAGGCGTGTAAATTTATTGCATTTCCTCAAAGTGCAAAAAATGACAACCAACATTATTAGAAAGCTAGAACAGCTCCACTACAATGTTTAGGATTTTTTAGGACTCCTTCTGTCCTTTTTTTAAAAAAATACTTTACAATGCTAAAAGATAATACAAACTGAAATCAGAAAAAAAATAGAAAAAAAGAAATACAAAGTGCAGAAAAGAAATAGTGCAGAAAAGAAAAGTGAAAGATAGAAACAAAGAATATTTAAAGAAGTGACTCCCAATCTTCCTTGCAACAAGTACAGGCAAATTAATAGTTCTCCACCCCTTATGAGATTACATATACAGTTCACTTCTTCCCATAGCCCCTCCCCTTATCCATTTACAAATCCAAAAATTATCATTTCTGTCCAAATGTTGGCAAAAAGTCCATAAAGGGTTTCCAGAATTTTATTAAAATATTCCATATTTTAGCCCTGATCAAACAAGCCAACTTTATATTCCTTTCTTTTGCTTCTAACAATCTTAATTTTTAGTTCATCAGGTTTCTGTCATAGGAGCACTCCTGTCCTTTGATCACTGGGCACTGCTCTCTGTGACTTGGGCTTCAGGAGAGATTGGACATTAGGCTTTGGCAAAGGCATAATGTCAGGCGTCGTTAACTGAATCCCATGGTTGTTAGGTAGGCAACTTCCTGCCAGCTTTCCACAACAAAGTCAGTGGGGAAGCTAGCAGGAAGTTGCAAGTCCCAGGCCAGCAGGCAGGTAAGTGGCTGCTGCCGGGTGGAGGAGGGAGTGAGGGGGCGCAGGAGAAGGTCAAGGAAGGTGTGTGAGGGAGGGTCAGGGAGGGAGCGAGGGAGTGCATGAGAGGCACTGCACGGGTTGGGGAGGATGCGAGGGGGTATGTGAAAAGCACAGGTCAGGGAGGGTGCACAGGAGTTTGCAAGTGGCCAGTGCAGCACGAGTGCAGAGAGGCTGGAGGAGGGTGCGTGGGTGGGGAAGACTTACCCCAGCGACTTGCAACCTTCCCTGCCAGCTTCCCCATTGACTTTCTGGGGAAGCCGGCAGGGAAGGTTGCAACTGGCGATCATGTGATCGCAGGGCGCTTGGCAACTGATTGTAAGTGCGAATGATTGCCAAATACCCAGATTGCAATCACGTG